GGGCTCTTCACAGACATCACAGTTAAGTGTCTCAGTGCATATTTACTTATCCTCCACTAAGGCTACGGTCAGGAGGATGGAGTGCTGTGCATGCTGGGGGAGTTGACGCTGCAGGGCCGGGAACCACAGTTTGAGAGTCCCTGGGGCCCCTGAGATGTCTGAAGTCCAAGGAAGGAGACTGGTATGTTCTAGACAGCTCAGCTTTTGCAGGGAGCCTTTTGGCTGGTAGAATATTGCTTGGGTTGACTGGAACAGGCAGCCTCACAGGGTGTGGGCTTCTGCCCAGATGCCTGAGGGGTCTAGGCCTGGCCACACTCAGGCCTGCAAGCCTGCAGGCTGTTTCCTAACTCACTCATGATTTTCCAGTATTTTCCTTTGCCAAACTGTAGTTTCAACACTGGAAACTTGAGGTTGGGTGAGTGCAGAGTGTCTCACACCAAGTGTGTGTGCACCCTCGTGTCTCAGAGGATGTATAGGTGCCCACACCCCCATTATGTCTCTGTCCAGCCTGGCTATGCTGTACTAACCCCCCCAAACCTGTCCCCTCACCCTCGATCCAGGCTGTAGGCTGGCAGCTCTTTGGAGGCTGCCCACTGAAGGGCTGTGTGGTAATTAGTTGGTCCCTATACTGTTTGCTTGTTGCTATTTTGCTGCTAATGAGCCTAATGAGAACCACGTGAGCAATGGGGTGTTGGCCCTGGATAGCTGGGTCCAGGGTTGGGTAGAATGTGGTGCTCTTGGCTCCATACCCTGGCAGCTGGCTCTGTGCTTCCCCAGTGGCTTCTCATTGCCCTCTCCCCTCTATGTAGCTGCCCTCAGGGATGGGAGATGCCATGCCAGAGAATGCTCAGGATCCTGTCCTGGTAATTTCATCCGTATGGGATACCTTCCAGGCAGGTGGGAGGTGAGAGCACCAAGGAGGGGTGTATGACATAGCCCCATTTCAGTCTTGGCCCTCAAACCGTGTGGAGTCTTAGTTCCTCTCCTGGCTCCCCAGATATGAGGACTTGATGATATATTACACATGTGCAGAAGTTCTGGTCCTAGCTCGGCTGCCTCCAATTCCTGGCCTCTCTCTTCTCTCACGGAAGCAATGCTAAGTCCTAAGGCACGATCCCACCTCCCCGGCTAGTCTGCTCCCTCCTCCCAAGGCCCCTGGAACCAGGGAAGCCTCTGTGTCTCTCTGGCCGCCACACTGCTGCGTCTCCGGTTCCTCCTCTACCTTGGTGGGGTCGGGAATCGGGCCACGGTTTCCTCCCTTGGTCTTGGTATCTGCCTTTTACCCCCTGTGGCCTTGCCAGCTCTTCCACATGATTCATGTGTTTGTGTATTTGTGGAAGCAGCTGACTGAGGGGAAGGGCAGTCGGATGTGGGATGGCTGTCGTGTTTGCAGCTGCTGATTTGAGGGAGATTCTTCAGCTTCCTCACACTGGCTCACCCCTGTCTCCACACGGCTGGGGAAGGTGCTGCGGAGCCTCCTTCTTGACTTGAACCTTCCTATCTTGACTTGAAGACTCGGGGCCTGAGGCTGCTCTGGGAAGAACAGAGTTCCCTGCAGTGCAGTGGCTGAGGAGGGGCCCCTCTCTAGACTCCAACTCTTGCAGTAAGGTTCGAGGTTAAGAGTCTATGCTTTAGATTCTGTCACCAGATCTAGAGGAGATGGATGTCTGAACCCTAGTTTTAGATCCTTGGGCAAGTAACTAGTTCCCTTTTTAGTTGAGTTTTAGCCATATAGCACGTGACAACTGAGGCTCATCTTTGGGATTAACAACAATACAATCTACATCTCTCACAGTGTGCCAAGTTATCATAAGTCCTTTAAAATACTGATTTTGGGGGGGTGGTTTCAAGACAGAGTTTCTCTGTGTATCCTTTGCTGTCCTAGAACATGGTCTATAGACCAGGCTAGCCTCAAACTCAAAGAGATTCATATATCACAGAATTTTAATACAATGACTTTCGAGGCTAGATTTGATCCACCACCAGCACCCCCTGTTTGCAGATTCACCTGGATAGTTGTCCATGTTGGGGAGTGGGGGTTCAGCAGTCTGTATATGAATCCAGTCTCTGGCTCCCAAGGGCCAGCCCTTACCACCATTCTTTCTGCTAAATGAGCAACTGTGCAGGCAGCCTGGAACATGGTTAGGCACATGGTGTTTGGAGCACAGTGGCCGGAGCCTGTGCCAGGGACCCACCTGGTGAGTGTGTGGCCATGGGCAAGCCGTTCCAGGTCTCTGTGTCCCCGGGTCCTCTTCTGTGCCCTGTGACTAACAAGAATTGCTCCCTCTCAGAGTTGTAAGGAACAAACGAGGTAACTTAGATCAAACATTTCACTCATGGTCTGCTGTGTTGTTCTCCAGGCTCTTTATACAGAGTCTTCATTCTTGGCTTTGATTTCTAAGGGCAGGGGTTATCTCACTGCCCCTGCATGTAGGACGTCTATGTGGCATTCCTGGGCTAAGCTGAGAAATCCCTTACTGTTGTCAAGCTCCTGTCAGCCCTCCCTGCTGTGCAGGGGACCTGGTGATGCAGTCCTGATGTGCATTTGCTCCTGACTTCTTGATCTGCCGTCTCTGCATTGTGTGGTGGGCACTGGGATAGCATCCCTTCTGATTCTTATCTCAGTCCTGCAACGACCCTGCTCCTTTTTTTCCGGCCCCGCTTGGCTTCCCTCAGAGTGCTTGATCCCACCCATCACACCCGTACAAGACTCACCAGCCCGCCAGAAGGACAGTTATGCTGAAGTTGTTAGCGAATGGTGGGGAGGAAGATAGGAGGAAACGAAAGAAATCATGTGAGCTCAATGGAGACCCAATTAATAAGAAATACACACTCTCCGGATGATGTCACGTGGGATACTTGAGCTCTTCATGGCGAGAAGGAGTTTCCCCACGAGGCTGGTTCCCTTTGCACACACCAGTGTGTCCTCTACATGCAGCTCCTATACCTGCTACTAAGCAAGAGGTTTCCCAGGACTTTCCCTTCCTCTTCTTTCTGGCTGCGCTGCCCTGGCTGGAGTGGCCTGCTTTCTCGCAGATGTAGACTCTGTCTTGGGGCCACAGCCCGTGTCTCCCTTGACCTCAGGCTCCTGACTGCTGCTGTATCTGTTGTGATTGCCTCCCTGGCTGTCCAGCCCCAGCTTGTGCGAATGAGCCCGAGCTTTCTTTCCCGTGAGCCAGTTTTTGCTCCCTGTGTGAAGGACAGCCTCAGATAGTTAGGGACGCGTGGGATGCCTTCCTGCTCGAACTTTGTCCTCAGTCCTTGCTAAACCCTGCTTGTTGAGTTCTATGTGGACTGTGCCTGCCTCACTCTTCCTGTGATGCCTCTGTGGTCTTCGGTGCATGCAGGGATCTAGTCTGGATGTCTGCAGAAGTCTGCTTGCTGCTCTTTCTGTCCTCCCTTAATGCATCTGATTGCCTTCTGCTGTGGGGGTCCTAAAACCAGTGACCTTCCACCTGGCTCTTGGCCCTTACCCCGACTCATGTAGTCTAGCTTGGCTGCTGGGAGTGTGCCTCCTCTACTCTGTTGCGAATGCTACTCTCCCCGGCTCTGCCTCCACTGTGAGCCTGGCCTCTTGTCATCTCCCCAGTCTCTGCACTGTGCTCCTCTCCTCAGAAAGGCAGCTTCCAGTCACTCTGTCAGACTTGCTCCTCATCAGTCTTGTTTCCTCTGGGTCTGGGCCCCTTGACTGTTACCGCCATATCTCACATCCCGATTTCCAGTCTTCTGTTTTCTGATACCTCTGTGATTAATTTTAATTAATTCCATGATGGAATGGACAGAGTTCATCTTCGTTACTATTCTATGCAGCGGTAAATATTGGATGCACAGCCATGTTCTAGATAAGGACAGGTTGACCAGTGGTAATGACTCCTGCATCCGTGTGGTTAGGATTCAGACAGTCCGTGATGGCAAGGTAACCCTTTCCTCTATGCTCTGCCACGGGATGAGGGTACCGGGGGTAAATGGCTACATGTCAACCATAGAACTATCTTCTGTGCACTTGCTGGTGCTTTCCAGGAAGAGGCTCATCACAGGC